TCGCCGAGCCGACGCTGCCCTCACTGCTGCCGCTGCGCGCCGTGTAGCCGCACTTTTCGGCCGCCGTAGTTTGTGCACTGGGACCGCGTACAGGATTTCTTCGGGAAAAGGTGCGTGTTCAAAAAAAAAATTTTGCAGCTATACACCAAAATCTCCAAAGATCGGGCACAAACGTTGTCAAAGACGCATAAGGCATGCTCTACACCAATGTGTTGCCGAAAACTGTTTGGTCGAGAGAGACTGTTTCGGATCAAGGACATGCTGTAGCCGTGCGTGTATCATTTTTTTCCCGGCTTTTCCGTCTGCATGACGAGGGTCCAGCGGGGTCGAGCTACCCTACCCTAGTCAAACCTACGGCTCCTATGGCTGCAGCGGCCGTCGGCTCGGCCCCGGTAGCTGGCTCGCGTGTGGTGGCGCAGGCCACGGGCTTCCGAGCGCCGTGCTGCTCACGGCCTGCTGTACTGCTACGGCCAGATCCAACTCGCCATAACAACGTCGCAACACGGCCGACAAGAAAGCTTGGCAGACCTCCGAAACGGTGGGGCGATGACCTCAGATGCTTCAGTCGTGCATATTTTCCTGTAGCAGACGCTTGGCATGATGTCGTTGATTCGCCAGAATGGCATTCTTTACGACACCGCTATATTCACCTTGATAAAGATCCCACCTGTCACCCATGTCCTTACAGGACCGTAGTCTCTGATTCGAACCGCCAAAATTCAAAGTGCCGCAGGGTTTGGGGATAACAGGGACAACTCTGGGCCCAAGCAGTTTCGTAGGGAGCTTCAGAGCATCAGCAAAGCTCGAGTTGTCAAGAGCGTCAGTGAGGTTCGAGTCCTCGGAAGTTTGACAACGTCATTGAAGTTCCGAAGCACGAGTCGTCAAGAGCTCCAGAGCGTCAGCGAAGTTCGAATCGTCAGGAGCTTCAGAGCCTCAGTGAAGTTCGAGTCGTCAGAAGCTCCGAAACTCGCGCCATCGAGCTCAAGCCATGTAAGAGTACCGCATCCCGCGCACTGCTGCTGTCCCAAGCTGGGCCTTTCGCCGCCCGTGCGTTCAACGTCACGCCCACACGGCGCCGCCTGTACGGCTCCCGCTGAGCCCTGCCCCTCGAGCACGCTGTAGCGCGTGTTTGCCGCGAGGCTGGCGCGAGGGTCGCTCGCAATGTCCCGTTCGCCGACATGAATCTTGATGTGCCGCTCGCCGACGCGCGGCGCATTAAGGTAATCGCGAACGGCCTTCCCTTGTGGCACGGTTCCCAGCTAGCAATTGATGCTACTATCGTGTCGCCCGTCCGGCGACTGCACCCCTCCGCCGATGTCGATCCCGGCTGCGCCCTGGCTGCCAAGCGACATCAGACATACCCAGAGCTTGCCCGCGCCCGACGCTGCCTTCTTATTGTTGTTGGGTGCACCTCCCGCGCCTGCTCGCGAGGCACAGGCCGCCACCGTCCCCGCCGCCTCCAGACCAGCCGCGATCACTGCCTGGGTCGCACGCTGGTCCGGGCTCCTAGCCCCTTTGCTGGAGCTGCGGCCCACGGAAGTGCTCTTCGACGGACCCGTGCCTTCAGAACGGCAGCGAAGCTCCGAAGCGCGAGTCGTCAAGAGTTTCAGAGCGCTCGAATCGTCAGGATTCAGAGCGTCAGTGAAACTCGAGTCGTCAAACGGTTTGCCTTGGCTCCCGGACCAAGCGTGCAGCTGGCTCTTGCTCTCCATGTGCTCGGCGCCTCGGGGAACCATGCCCTCCCCACGTCCTCGTCCGAATTGCGGGGGCACGCGCAAGCGCAGCTTGTATGGGCGGCTTCCGTGAAGCAGACTCGCACCAGGCCTAGTCTATCGCCAGCTTGCCTGCCGTGCATGGTTTGCAATGGGCAGAGCGCACAACACCCGCGGCATACTGGGCGGCCTGGTGGGCGGGCGCGCTACCCGTGATCAGCGCTCGCGCGCCCGATTTCGCACGCAGATGTCTCGCAACACTCGAGAGCCGCAGCGGAGAAGCTGATTGTGGCTTCGCGAAGCGGCGGCGGTGCGGGATCTGTTTTTGCCACAGGAAGAAGGATTGCGCAACTTCCCTACCACGGAGGGTGGCCGAGCGCCGGAAGCTCACCACCTACCCAGAGCTTTCGTGCGGCGGGCCAGAAAACCTCTTCGTGTGCGGTCGCTGGAACGACCCAGACGCGCACTTTGGTGAGGGACCTGGTCATGTTGAAAGCTCACCGGGCCCTGCACGCCATCCACACAGCGGCGTCTTCCGGTTGGGCGAGGCGTTGGTGGGGCATGTTGTCCGTTGTGGTGCAGCAGGCGGTCGCCAGTATGGTGTTGGGAGGCCTTGCGACAGCCCGCCGCTGCACGCCGGGCTCCACCACGATGGCCCCGCCGACCCACCTGCTGCTGCGGCCCTGACACGGGACTGTTGCGTACTCCGTAGTGCGTTAGGTAAAACAGTCAGTTGCGACCGACGGCTGGTACACCTCGTTGGCCAGCTCGAAAAGTCCGGCCCCACAGGTGGCGGCAGAGGGATTGCTGTAAAAGGGGGGAACCCTAATCTATGTGGATTTCAACTGCTTGATTAGCCGGGCGGGGTTACCCAAAATAGCTACGGCCAGTTTGGATTTTCTGCCACGTTGGAGCGGCAGGTACAGTAGTGTCCGTCAGGAAATGCGATGGTGAGAACGCGCTGAACGGATTCTGTGGATCGTCGGCAAGCTATTTTGCGCGAAGTCGCGGGTCATGTAGGAATGTTTCGCAAGAAGCCTCCGCGCATGTGAAAATACGGCTACCGATTCCAGGAATGTCGGCTCGTGTGCATGTTTGCCTCGCTGCCTGACCCCCATCTGACTTGAAAGTGCACCACAGCATTGCATTGCAAGTTGTTGGTCCAACGGCAGCCCTTATCGTAGCAATGAAAGGGATCGTGCAAGGATTGTACAGGTCTGCTCATGTTGCGGGGCATGCGGCAAGTGTTGCCAAAACTTGGCAACGAAATGTGTCAGGACTTGCCCAAGACACAGCCCAAAAGAGCCCATCCAGAGCACAGCTCAGAGCTCATGCGCTGCAGAGCGCGGTTCCGATGATTGGGTTCGGTGTGGTGGACTGTGTTGTGATGACACAAGTTGGTTCTACCATGGATGCTGTATTGGGCGCGCGGCTTGGCATCTCTTCCATCACAGCTGCAGCCATTGGATTGTTCTGCAGCGATTCATGCGGGGTCCTGTTTGGTGGGACCATCGAATCGTTCGCCGGAAGGCTTGGACTGCCCACTGCGAATTTAACGTCCGAGCAGCTGGAGATGCCGGAGACCAAACGCGTGGCAACTTTGGGCCGCCTTGTTGGTGTCCAGCTTGGTGTACTCCTTGGCAGCACGACTCTACTGCTGCAAGGTGGTGGGGACGCTGACAAGAATTCAGCTCAAGAGACGGTTTGCCCAGCTGACCTCCCCTCGCATTTAGCAGCTACAACTGCCATTACGACGGCGGCCGACGTTGTCGTGTTTTCCAAACCTGGCTGTCCGTTTTGTGAAAAGGCGGAAAACATGTTGCTCGCCAGCGGAGTAGCTTTTCGCAAGGTACCACATGACTTGCACCAGAAGAATTTACAAGAGTTGACTTCTTCGACGGCTGCACCTTCCATCTGGATGCATGGAAAGTATGTCGGCAACAAGTATATTGACGGAGGCTTGGACAGACGGTGGTAACCAATGGAGTCCTCGAGCTTAGCAGGGAAGCGGAAGTACCAGCTTTGCACGGAGGCCACCGACAGCCATCTCATGATCTTGCTGTTCACCGACGTGAGAGCTGACCAGGCCTGTGTTTGTCGCGGTCTTCGAGTCACTTAGAAAGTTGTCTGCAGATGTTCAGCATTGTTCAGCCACTTAGTGTGAGTCGTTGCAACGTTCGGTGTAGGATGTAACATTGGCAATTACATTTACATGGTGCCGCGGTATGCACATGGACGGACTAGAAGATTATGAAAGTGAGTGGAAGGATCGGCTTTGTCTGGTGCCTTCGGTAGCAACGTGCAGAAAAGGATGGTTGAGCTCAGACCACAATCGCAAGCTCCGAATCTCTAAGAGTCATTCCGAAGATAAGATATCAATCAGTCCACGGCTTCGTACATCCCCAATCCCGGGTTTCCTGATTGCACTGCACCGAGGGTTTCGTTTCAAAGGTTTGGGAGGGGGGCGGTTCTGTCGGTTGGCCTGCAGTAGAGAGGGATGTAGAGAGTTGACGCGAAATCGCCGTGCAGTACTCGCAAGAGCCTACAAGTGTAAACGCGTCCAGACTCGTGGCTTCAGCGGCATTGTTTGAGGTTGGCGAGGGGCCCTGGTCGTGAGTGATTCAGTTGTCTAGTTTAGGATGTTTAGGATCCTTGTTTAGGCACGGTGAACAAGACAGGTTACCATGCCACACTTACTTTCTGCATCAAGCACATACTTGTAGCTCAAAGCAAGGAACCGGACATTCTGCTATGCCGAGCACGTTTCACATCCTTCAAGAGACCCGCATGGCTCGATCGGGCTTTCATACAATGGACCGCAAAGCGAACGCCCGGGAGAGTTCTGGGCCGTATAAGATTTCTCATTGGGTTATCACCATGCCCTGACTTTCACGCAAACTTGCCCTCGTCTCATCCTGCCACAGGTGCTGCCAGAAGTGCTGCCGGGTGGGAGCTTCTGAGTTAAAATGAGGTGTTCAGGATTTAGATTCTAGACAACTTGTACATACAAGCGTTCCAAACCATGTTATCTGTCTCCAGATGATGATTATGAGCCAATCCTTAGCAGCCCACAAGATCCGAGTACATGGATGAGTTTCTCTGGCTTCCAAAGCGAGGCATTGCTCTCACAGACAATCTCTCAGACCAATGTTTCCAGAAACGGAATCGACGTGGGTTCGACATGTTTGACGTGTTTGCCGTCGTTGAGTTTCGATAGCCTCCACAGATTGCGCTACTTTTGGTGAGGCCTTGTTTGATCGTGCTGATGCAATGGACGCCTGATACACGCGTTTTGGCTCGAACCCAGGGTACACTAGTATCCGTTTTGATCCGTGCTGTCCGGGAAGCTTCGAGCTTGAAGACTTGAAAGAAGCCAATATGTCCGCAACACGATGGGGACGGAAGTGGGCAGATTTTGACGATGAGGAGGAGACCACCATGCAAGAAGCACAGGGACGCTTCGAAACGCAGGCTGACAAAGATGGGATCAAGAGCGTGGTCGAGTACGTCGAGAAGAACGGAGGAACGTACAAGATCACAAAGAAGGTCAAGGAGGTTGTGACCACAAAATGGACAAATGATGCGATTCAAGCACGGAAGTCCTTAGAGAAGTTCGGCAAGGCAGCCACCAACCCTGAGGCCGATGAAAAGACGTTGTGCATGAGAAGTGTAGAGGAAATCCCGGTAGAGTCCGCCAAAAAGATCCACGTGGATTTGTCTCAGAAGGATGATGCAGAAGAGAAGTTTTTCGAGGAGAGTCTCACCATTACCGAGAGCTTGCTGAAGGAGAAGAAGGTGTGGACAGACCTCAACAAGGAGATGAAAGATCAGGTAGGTGTTGGGGAGGAAGAGAAGAAGGACAGCACCGAAGCAGCAGCAACTCTTGCATCTGGGGCACCCGGTAAGTATGTGCCGCCTAGCCTACGTGGAGCGCAGGGTGATGGTTCCAAGGGCAAGGGCAAGGGCAAGGGAGGCGATTATTCGGGACAACAGGATGCCACCCTGCGAGTCTTCAACTTGTCCGATGATGTCAAGGAGGGAGACTTGCAAGATCTCTTTGGCCAGTGTGGCCGCCTTCAGCGGGTGTTCCTCGCCAAGGACATGACGACGTATCAGTCCAAGGGCTTTGCATTCATCACGTACTACAACCGCGAAGATGCACAGAGAGCCATTGATCGCTTGAACGGCCATGGCTACGACAACTTGATCATGAAGGTGGAGTGGGCCAAGCCGCGAGCCTGATTGACAACTGAAAGGAGGGAAGCTTCACATAGTCTCAGTAAGACGAGCCTGCAACACGCATTGCGTACTTACCCGGGTCACCACTAATCTCCAAGCCTCGAGGATTTGATTCAGAACACTTCTAGGCTCGCATCTCGTCAGTACACGTGTCAGAAACAAGTACAGACGTGACTGGCAGCTGTGCTTTCGTCTTGAAAAGAAATTTGCAACGACATGGAGGGGCTGCTTGCAAGGCACGGCACAGAATGCAGAAGCGGCGTGAGCATGTGCATGATATCACTCGCTTTCAAGGTGCTGATCCGCATTGTTTCATGCCAGATTAACAGAGGCACTTTGATTATGCCTCCACATAGTGATGTGCGTTGAAGCTTCCTGTGAAGTGAAACCTCCTGCAGGCACGGCAGCATAAGTAGGAGGAGCCTTTACTGGTAGCATGTACATGTGTAGTTCTAGGGCCGAAAACCATGCTCATCAATGCACACGCAAGAACTGGAAAGCTGACAGTGAAGCCAGTGTAGGTGGCTGCGGCGGTGAGGTCTCAGACAATGCCGCCTCCAGGTAAGTGGGACAAAGGCAAAGGCAAGACCGCGAAGTCCAAAGGAAAAGGCTCCACGGATGGCAGTACAGCCGCCAACGCATCATACAGTGACCGGCAGCAGACTTCCTCGATTGAATCCTCCTGCAAATTCTTCGGGAGCTCCAAAGGATGTAATAAAGACGCCTGCCCGTTCTTGCATAGCAATCCGAATGGTGTTCCATTTTGCGCTTTCTTTCAGCGAGGGCAATGTGAGAAGGGAGCTGCCTGCACTTTCAGGCATCAGCAGTGGTCAAGCCCGGACGAAGCCAAAGCATTCTATGCCAGTCGAGATGGCGGTTTGGTGGAGACAAGCGCTGCTAGGTACAAGCAAGTGCGACGCGGAGGCAACGAAGACAAATCAGCTGGACTGCGACTCGGTTCTGAGCATGTTGAGCTGGAAGGTGAGATTGAAAAGGACTTTCAAGAAGAAACCTACGGCTCCAACGCAATGCGGATGATGGAAAAAATGGGCTACAAGGCTGGAAGTGGCTTGGGAAAGGAGAACCAAGGGCGGACATCATTGCTCGGCTCTTGCATAGCCTTGGAGCGTTCCTCTGGCACATCTGCTTTGGGCTTTTCTCATTACGCAGGTGCCATTCGTGTAACAGCTGCTGAGCGTGCAGCACGCCTGGCCGATGCACGTGCAAAGAAGTGCCAGAAGCTGGAGAATGCATCTTTCGTGCACCATAACCTTCTGAGCAGCGACGAAAGTAGTGATGGAGAAGACCCGCACGTGAAGTCTCGTGACACGGAGCTGCTAAAAGGCTGCCTGCATCCTCACGTTTGTCGTCACTCGTTTGTAGGCAATGACAGTGCTGATAGCTCCTGCGCTTTCTGTCTCTCACTGCATATCTTTTGCAATATCATGCGCACCAGTGCGCGGCTTGAGATGTCACTGATGTCACCGAAGGCTAATAACAAACATAACAAGTGGCTGCTGAGATTGCCTTTGCCCCAGTTCATGATTCAAGCTCGTGCGCGAGAACAGATATATGCGTTAGATTCCTTTACTTAGAGAGTTTGTGGGGATATTATGATATGTTGGTCGGAGGAGTCACGACCTGCATAGACATCAAAATTAAAGTGCCGAAGCTGCTCCTCTTCCGGTCAACTCGGGTGGACATGGGCTTGGAGCTCAGAAGAAGGGTCGACTGGAGTGGTTGTGGAGGTAACCAACCTGCCTTTCTGTTTGAATCAGGCCTGGCATGCGGCACCTCCCACCTCCCGCAAGCTTCGGCGACGAACATCCCGAACAAGGATCCGGAAGGCCTCGAGCATGTCGCGACTACATGACCTTGCACGTCTGAGGTTTGCCGGGCATTTAAATCCAGATTCGGATTAGCACTGGTAGATAGAGGGGTAGCTGTGTGTGTGAGAGGGTCGCGCGAAGCTTGTAGAGCATTGTAGAGCTGATTGACAGGCGATGACAATTGGAAGGCTTTGCTGACGGCCACGAGTCCAGCTGCACGACCTGATCCATCTGGTCCTGCAGCGCTGAGGGGTGAAACGCAGCACAGCGGAGAGTCACGCAAGCCTTTGGTAGACGGGGCCGGGGCATCACAAGACACTGAAGCCTATGGCTTGTTGGATGAGTATGTCGATGACTTGCTCGGCATTCCTTGGCAAGACCGCCCAGTTTCCTGGAGTCGACCTTCGTGGCAAGAGACAGCACACGCCTCAGGGATGTCCATGCCCGAGATGGTGATGGAGGACGGATCGAGAGGTCCAGCTTTGCAAACCCTTCCGCCGAGAGAGAACCTGCTCAGCACCGGGACGGCGACAAGTTCTGGAGAACCTTTGCAACCTGTGCCGGCCACGCTTCGTGTCTGGATCAAGTCATGCCTGTGTTGGGTTCATGTCGAGTCAATGCTGGTACTAGTATCAGTTTCAATGTTCCTTGGTCTTCCTGAGGCCATACTTGGCAGGAGTACTAAACGGCTGGGCCGTGATTGACCGCAGTGCTGTGGACGCCAAAGTCGTCCGAGATAGCCCGGCACCTAAACGGCGCGCAGACAAGGTGCCTGCCGGTTGAACAGTTGAATCATCAACATGCAGAGAAGGATGTCTTTGTTTTGATGCATCTACTTGCTTTGCGAAGCAATGCATGGTAGCAGGACGTAGACACACTGGCAGGCAATGCTTGACGCTGACCTTGGTCAAACAATGTTTCGAAGGTCCATATCACCAAGCATGTCCCAGGGTCGTGCAGAAGCGGCAGCCGATCGCAGCAGGGTTGGTGGCTCTTGAACTCGTCGTCCTTGTTACTTGTTCCATCGGATGCAACACGATCCCAGCACTTGTCTTTAAGCAAGGTCATTTCTTTAAGATCACGTAGCGCAGAGGTATACAACTAGACTGACACGGGAGATGCAACAGTGCCGATGGCTGCTGGCAATGTGCCAGACACAGTGCCAGTGCCACATCCCTACAACTGCAAGCATTGAAGGCCAGGTTTGCGCTCTCCTTTTCGAAGCCTGAACAGCCCAGGCCTGCTGAGATGGAGAGCCCAGACGTGTCCTCAGACAAAGCTAGCGTGAGGTAGCAGCTGGCGAGCTTCACACTGCGCCGCCAAGAGGTGCTTGAATTGATTCGCTCGCCGAACGATCGACATCACGTGACATTGTTGTCAACGAGGTATTCAAGCCGCGTCTTGTCACCAGAAAGATTGAGTCTGTTTGCGAAGACCCATCCGGAGCTCCAAGTTAATGCTAGCGAGGTTGCAGGATAGATGCGCCGGAAGACAGGGCGATTACCTTCGACCAGTTAACAGAGGTTTTGTGCCATGGCTAGCAAGCTTAGGAGTTCAACGTGGTCGGCCTGTTGTCGGGGTAGTTTAAGGTGAAGTCACTGCTCACTCGCTGGGGCAGGAGCTATGCCTTATCTGCTTGCGACAGATGGCAAGATCTTTCTACCTCGGAGATGCAGCCCTTGACCAGCCATGGGCTCGATCACTACGACGTAGTGAACTGGATTTTGCGGCCGGTGTCTGAAGCAAACAAGGGTTCATTTGTGGAGATGGTCGCAACTTGCATTCAGGAGCTGGACATCGGTAGAGCATGCTTGCCGGAGCCTGATCACCTGACAGCGCCAGTAGAGGGCATAAGAGTCTTGCAAGCCGTGCAGGAGCCAGGGTATTATTTGAGCCATTATTTTGGCCAGCCTGTCGGAGACATACTGCAATGTGTACGCCACCATCTTCGAACAAGACACTTTTCGGATGACACCCCGTATTGGATATGGGCCTACGCACATCGCTATGGGCAGGATGATGTGTTGCCGGACAGAATCTACAGCTCACCGGTCTGGCAAGTGCCTTGGCTCAGACAATGTACCACAGGCCAGCTTTCCCCAAGGAGAGCGGTGAAGTATTCGACTGCATCCAGATGCTAATCTCAGGCGATGGGCAAATCGCGTGGAATACTGCTGGCGCTGGGCAATTCCTCAGTCCCCCTTAGCCGAACCTGGACTCTTTGCTGCGGTTCTGCCTTGAGACAACGTGTCGTTAGTCACATGATGTCAGCGTTGAACCTGGATCCTGGCAGATACTATGTGCACTGCGTAGCTCAGTAGTTCAGTCAGAAAACCTGCCTTGTGCATTGTTCCGCTCAGGTGTTTGCTGGAGATCACTTTGGCAATGGAGCGACGCCAGGCAATGGACATCGTCACCCGTTGAATTTAGCTGTTTGAATGTCTGGTGAGCAGTATGGCCCTGTGGTCACGCTGCTGTACCAACTAAGGCTGCGTGCTCACCAGAAGGTGTGAAACTCTTGACTGACCATCTGACAGAAGTGGAGCGCAAAACTGAACACCAGAATCCTGGAGCTGGCTTTAAGCAGAAGAGCCAGCGAGAGCAGACATTTCCGGCGGAAACCCGGCATGGAATACGTGCTGAGACGTTTTCCGCTCAACCAACAACTCTTGATCCAGTCAGGAAATTCTTCTAGCTGCCCTTGACATCGGCCTTGAGAGATCCGATGCTTCGAGCAAGTTGGACCGCAACCGCATCCTCTACAAGCTCTTGGAAGAACGAGGCGTGGAGATCGGTTCTGTGCCGCTTCATCGGCTCTTGGAGTCTTGAACTAAACTGCACATGCCATGCCTCAATCGGAGCTTTTCGGCTGCGCTTGCTTCTGCTTTATGTGCTAAGGAGAAAATGAACATTAAGCTGCGCGCTTTCTTCGCCTCGATGCTCTGGTTCCCTGTGCTGGAGACGGAGAGTGGAAAGCTCCAACGCACGCGAACGGCTTTAGCAGACTGCATCCGAGCAAATGCAGCCAGAGATTGCATTGAATTGAGCTTTTGTGCATCACGAATCGACGATGCCCACATGGCAGCACTTGCTCGTTCAATGCACAAGAACCTGGCAACCGTGAACTTGAACTTCTGTATGTGCCCCCATGTCACCGCAAAAGGCATGGAAGATGTAGCCAAATGTTTGCCGGCCAAGCTCCGTACCCTGAGGCTGAATTTCAAGCGTCCCGACTCACATGTGATTGCATTTATCGTCCGTGGCATTGACTTCTGTCGGATGCATCACGCGGGGTCAGATGCTGAGGTCGTGCTCTGGTATTGGACAGGGAGGTGTGGATGCATTGTCCAACTCACTTCCTCCCGGCCTGACTTCTTTGCATTTGAATTTGGCTTGTAACTCTGAGATCCGCAGCCTGGCAAGCTTGTGTCGAGGCATTCGCAGCGTTCAGTCACTGAAGCTTGCTGCCCTGCACGGGAGAGCTTTAATCTGCTGTGGCTTTAATTTTGTTCCTGGAACTGGCCATAGCTAGTCGGACTAGCCGAAACTAGCACTTCACAACCGCTCTCTTGAAATCCAGGTTTTTGGATCTGGATTTGTCCGTGGTGGAATATTTGAGTGACAAGAGCTTGTTGGCCTTGGCCGAGATGCTGAATGACCTCTGTAGCTTAAAGCATTTTCTTTTATTGCTGAAGGGGTGCAAGTCCATTACTGATTCAGGTGTGGTTGCCATACTAGAGGGCTTGCCACCTGTCACACTTCTGAAGCTTGACTTCGCCTTCTGCAACATCTCGGATGAAAGCATCGAGTCCTTGGCAACTCGAGTGAAATCCATGCCTGACCTTTGTGTTATGCACATCAGCTTCCACGGCTGTCAGAATATTTCAGAAGCATCTGTTGGCCACTTGGTGCAAGTGCTCCCTTCTTCTTTGAAGGGTGCCAAGCTGAACCTTTGCGAGACGCCTCTGCCACTGACCATTCAGAAGCATTGTAGACGCCTGGTGACAATGCGTGCGTGGATGCCTTTCAAGCCCTTTGTATCTGCCGTCAAGGAGGTTCCTGGCCCTAGCACGTCGGACGTGCCAGGTGGCACGGAGAAGGGTCTGAGCCTGCGCAGCTTGGATCTCTTTGTGCGAAGAGGACTCGTGCAAACGACGGGAGGCAAGGCACGGCTTCAGGCGCGGCCCGGGCCACCCGGGCCGCCGGAAGCCAAGGCTTTGAAGGCTCTAACCGGCGGAGCCTGGCGAGACCGAGACCTTTGGCAGAGAGCCGCTTCCGAGGAGGAGGAGCGTCGCCTACGCCGCACCTTCAGTGAACCTTACCAGCGTCCTTTGAAGTCGCTCTTGCCCAAAGTTGTGCACAGAGCCAAGGGCTCTAGCATTGCTTCTATGGCGCATCCCGAATGCATGTTTTCAAGGCCGCGGACAACCCATGGTGGATTCTCAGAGCCTGTTTGGTGCCCATAACAGTCCCTGTGGGGAGGGGAATTGAACTCTCCCTCTGTAAGAGCGAAGAGTGCCCACAAAGTGGTTGCTTTCGAGCTCTGGTTTTGTTCCTGTCGGGAAGGATGCCGAAGGTTGCCCATTCCCAGAGTTGCATCAATGCCGCTTCGCAACAACAAAATGGTTTCCACAGAAAACGTGACGACACGGGCGGTTTGTTTTTGCACCTTGCTCAATCTTGTCTCGGATAGCGGCACATGTGAGCCGCAGCACAGAATATATTCTGTGTTTCCTTGCTGCCAACAGAAAGGATGGTCTGCATCGTCGCGAGCGTCTGATTTTTATCCACGGCCGTGCTCAAGGCCAGATGTGAAGACAAGGATCGTCAACAAGAGGCACGTGATAGCACTTGCACGTCTAAGATCTATGTATGGGAACATTGAGTGGGAGGTAGCTGGTTTCTGTGCGTTGGCAGAGCCGTGTATGTAGCTCCAGCCGAACAACGCAATGGCAGACTATTTTGAGTTCTTGTCGCTGCCAAAGGGAGCCTGCATTGAGCTTGTCTCCGATGCAAGAAACTGTGCAGATGAATGCGGTGGCCCTTGCGGCTGCAGGTGTCGTGCCGAGATTCCACGGCTTCAACCTTTGACTTGGGAAGCACTTGACCCCATGACTTGCGATGATCTTCAGCTAGCTCCTCAGAGCTGTGTCGCGCACTTGGAGCAGCATGGTTGTGGCATAGTTCAGGGTGTGCTTACCGCTGATGTTTGCCAGCGTTTGCTCACGTTCGTGGACAGCCAGTTGGTCAGGGTGCAGCATGAGATCGAATGTCAGTCGGATGATCTTCGTCAAGGCCTTCTGAAAGAGCATTTCGGTACCGTGCGCGACCGCCAGCAGCGCTGGGACTTGAAGCTGCCATTGAATTCAATTGTGGAGGAAGCTCTGCACCAGGCAGTGCTAGCTCTTGGCTCTCTACTGAATGGAACTGTTGAAGCTGAGGGGGCATTGGTGGAACTCTCGTGTTTGATCACAGACCCCGGTGCACCGAGGCAAAACGTTCATGTGGACACTGGTGGCTGGAAGACCGCATGTGCTCCACTCTTGACCGTTTTCATTGCATTGCAAGACATTTCGGAGGAGATGGGGCCCACCATCCTTTTTCCTGGCACACATGATGATCCCTATCTGCAGCAGTGGCTCTCTGTCCTGCCGGGGGCAGATCGGTCCCCAGAGCAGTTTGGAGGTGGCATGCCCGCAACTTGTTCAGTTGGCTCAGCAGTCCTGATGAATTCCCGGCTGCTGCACTGCGGGGGTGCCAACCTGGAAGTCCCGTCCGGTGGTTCGCGAAGACGTTTGTTCTACATGACTTGGCAAAAGCCCGGCAACACCAACCACGGATCTACCTATACGATCAAAGACGAGCTCGTGGGACGATATCGTGTTCAAGATTGTCTTTCTGATCCAATGATTTCCGCTGGTACTATCTGTGAAGATCGTATCGTCTTGGAGGTTCTGGCAAAGCGGAAAGACGATGCTTCAGCCATGCTCGAATTTGCCATGCGCTTGCGTGAGGAAGGAGATCCAGGTGCTGTGGAGTGGCTGCGTGCAATCGCTCGCAAGGGCCACCCGCTCGCATGCATGCACTTAGCCGAGCTCTACTGCTTGGGCGAACTAGGCTTGGAGACAAACTATGAAGCAGCTGATGCCCCTTGACTGCGTTAGCAGCCTCGTGTTTAGTTTCGATGTGGCTCTGCTACGAATGCATGCCGCCAGCATGTCTATCTAGGAGCTGCGGAAATTTGCGCTGGGAATGTTTGACCATTTGGCCGACAAGTCCGACTGCAAGCCATCTTTCCAGGAATTTCTCGAGAATCACACTGCCGTCTTCCGCCAGGACTTGTTGTTCTGAGAGCCTGAATGCCGTAGGTTCCCTGCCCGCAGAAAAGCATTGATGCCTTGCCAGCGCAACTGGCACATACTGTGTGCATGTCGGATGAGACTTGTACTTCCTGCTCGAGCGCTACTGGCAGCTGTTCAGGGCAGCATGTAGTAGTTAGTCGTAAACGTCACCAGTTCATCGACTGAGAGGGACATTGCTGGGCAATCTCGCTTTCATTCTTAGCAAAGCCCGTGAAGTGTTGTTTGCCATGGGCGGGCGCAGACAGTGCAAAGACACGCCAACGGGACAACACACTTGCCGAGGCAGTCAGCTGAACTTCGGATGGGCATCCAAAGTTCACTGAGCTATGATGGTGGTTATGATGATGCTAATGACCAAGATAGATAGGTAGATAGACAGATAGATCGATAGATAGATAGATAGATAGATAGATACGGAGATAGATACTCTATGTGTGTATGTATATATATATATATATATATATATATATATATATGTTTTTCGCTCTTTTGGGGCACAGAATCCAAGTCGGATGCAGCCCATTGGCTTGCACCTAATTAAACCCCACCTGAAAGAGGCGGTGGGCCCCTCAAGCGCCTCGCTTCGGCTAGCGAGAAAAGCGCCAACGCCCCGGAGCAGAAATCTACTCGAAGGTAGTGTGCACTCGGGGCTCAAAATCGCAGCAGGCATGATGCATACCGTGAAGCGGCAGGTATTCCTCACAGTCGGGTCCCGTGGAGGCCATCCATTACCGCAGGGACCCTCATGCAAGGCCACACTAAAGGCACAGTGACTGCGTATGCGCCCTTTGGGCCAAGCGAAAAGGAACAACTATCCAAACAAGAACACTAAGGCACTGAAGATATGCACAGGACATGCCGCTAGGCGTCAAGCCAACAGGCTGACAGACGAGATGCGCATGCTCAGCATCTCATTGTGTATGGGCGGCAGCAATTTTGGATCTGCAACCCTGGGAACTCAAATCACATGCTACTGTACAGTGCAGTAACAATACAAACTACTCAGGGGCAATCAGCTCAGGAGTATTCCCCACTGGTACTCTTTGCTGCATTCGGCAAAAACTCTCTCGGCCTCCTTCACGACTTCATGGACGTGAAGGAGGTACTTGTTGTCGAAGGCGCCGACGGCTTCGGAATGGTAGACCCTCTCTGCGGTAACCCGGCAGGCTCTGTAGGCTGCTTGGTAGTCGGCTGCCCTC